CTGCAACACATCAAGCCCATAATTAAGACGATGGGGGACAGAGGCCCTGACTGTGGTGTACAAGCAGAGACCTTCACATGTCAGACAAGGGAGAGACGTGTAAGTGAGAGAATGCAAGTTAAAACTGAGACAATATTGACCACTGTGTTGGGTGGTGGCCTCCATATGTTAGTATCTTTTTACATCTTTTGTAGCCACATTGGAAGAGGAAAGGATTAGGGTGGGCTCTCCAGTAACTTGAACTTGATTACTTTGCAGAGTTACAGAGAGATGTTAAACAAGCAGCTGTTGGGAGAAAGGTGATTGAAAAGTGGATGCCTGTGGTGGAGCCTGGTGGTGTGAATCTGGGAATAGAGAATGGGACCATGGTGAGGACCTTCTGGCACCTCCATGGAAAACTGGAGGAGGAGTCAGGAAGATCCTCTGAGTAACCCAGTTAGGGGAGAGGAAGGAGAAAATGACCAAGCCAGGTAAGTGAGGGCAAGATTGCAAGATGAAGAAGAGAGTTAATTGTGCTGAACATAGCTGACAGATCGCGGAGGATGGGGAAATGGCAGTGCTCGGTTTTGGCTTAACACAATTCTGGAAGGAATAATTTGAAAGCGATGAGAGCAGGAAGCTCATCTTTTACATATAGCAGATGTGTACCAGATTGCAAGTAAAATATATGAATATCTGTAAGGTGGATTTGCACACAATACATACACCACAGACACACTCTAGAACTGTGGGATAAGCCAAAGAAAGAATTCAGGAACATACCAGTTAGGTACCACAACAGAACAAAGTGAAAGACAGTTTACAAAGCAGTTGTACGCTGTCTGACAGCAACTGAAGCCATGAAAGCAGCATCGAGTGGGTCAGCCACCGTCCCACAGCAATGGGCATCTTCGTTTCCACCCCCACTTGCAGATGGTGGCCATGGCTTTCCCATCAGAAATCCTGGTCTTACTCCTGATTTCTGTTAGCAGTCTTAACAGTGAGACTGATGTGAGATCCTATCCCTGTCGGATAGCGAAACCCACACTAACTGGAAATAAATGGAGAAACCAGACAGAGAGATAAAAATTAAGTTAAAATAGGTTGAAGATGAATATGTGTCTTCAGCAGTTGAGGAGTAGCTCTGAATGACGGAACAGCACTCTGCTGAGAAGCAGGGGGGCTTCCTGGGGGTTTTAGGAAGGGGAAGATCTCCAAAGCAATGATGAGCCATTGTGGCAGGCAAAGCACAGTAGGACTTTTTTCCCCCCACTTTTTTCTGAACTGGGGCACAAATGTGCAGGCAGTTTGACCGTGATGGGCTGCTCAGCTGGAGCAGAGCGTGGCTGCTTTGTTGCCTTTTGGGGGTGAGTGGCCCTGCAGAGTTCTGCACGCCAGGCAGGCTTCTCCCGCCCGTCCCTCCCCTGGGGCCAGGCTCATCGCACCCCGTGTGCGATGCAGCCCTGGAGGTCCGATGGCCAGGCGCGTTGGCATGGCATGAGTGACAGTTGTCCTAGGCTCCGGCAGGTCCATGGAAGGAAACGGGCATCAGTCATGTTGTTACAGCAGGGTGTGGGCCCCACAACACCTCCCGCAATGTGAATGCCTTTCATGATGATGCTCGGTAACCCCAGCTCAGATGTCCTCGGTGCGTCGGCGGTGACAGCAGGGTCCTGGATTAGTACCGTCACTGCAGGCTGTGCTCTCCCGGGGTGTTTCTCTGCCCCGCGCCAGGCAGACTGGTGGCAGGAGGTGGGAGCACTGCCATGCTGGTGTCCTGGCTGCCATGCTGGTGTCCTCCCTCTGCCCCAGCCAGAGGGGGGGTGAGCATGGCACGCTTTTAGGGCACTTGGAGGCCGAGCGTCATTGCAGAGGGCTTTGGGAGGCGCGGCTGGCAACCAGGCACCGCTGCAAGGGAGGGAAGGGCAGGGGGATGCCACCGGCTCCTCAGGGCAGGGCTGCCCGGCGGTGAGCCCTCCCGGTTTGCTGCGTGTCGCTGGGGACAGTGGATGCTGCAAGGGGGTCGTGGCCATTTTCCCCCTCCTGCTGAGCAGAGCAGCGATGAGTTCCCCTCCCAATGCCCTTCTCCACAGTGCGGCGTCCCGTACTCATTACCATCGTCTTACCTCCGCACCTGTTTGACATTGCATATTCAGTTTGGAAATACTGTCCTTTTTGTCCCCTTTTACACCATCTGTTGACACAGTCCCGCGTGTGTGTGTCTGGGTAAGACCCAGCTGGCACATGCGGGAGGGGAACGCATTCACATCTCCCGAAATTGCTGATTCAGGGACGGGGGGGTGACTCAAAAGACCCGCACCCCGATAGCGCCGCAGCTGAGGAGCCCGTCATCGCCCTCGGTGATAGTGCCAGGCGTTATCGATGCACAGCCACCCTTTCAGCCGTCCCCGCGGCCCCGACGTGCCTGTTGTGATCGGGGGAACAATGGCAGAGGCAGAGTGCCCGGCACAAAGACAACAGCTGCACTCCCGGGTCAGGCTTTGCAGCCGCCCCGCACAATGGCCGTGTGTAACCCCATCCCACCGCCCGCCTCGGAATAATTTATTTATAGATGCGATATCTCTTTCTCTGGCCTATTTAAGAATGTCTTTTCATAAATGCATGGAAATTGAAATTATTCTCTGCTTCTTCCCCAAAAGATTAAGGTATCTGCTCCGTACAGATAAATAGCATAATTTTGGAGGGGAAGAGGGAGAAAAGCCATTGGAATATATGTAATAAAAGATGGCAAGAAGATGATTCATTCTGATGTGTGCATTTGTTTTTTTTTAATTAAGTGTATTTCATTATTAGTGTCCTTGCAATAATGGGCACATGTTTAAAAATAGGAAAGAAATATTGAAGTAGAGAAAAAAAGCCCTCCTAGGCAATGAATGCCAGCCTCTCCTCTGTGAGAGATGACTGGTTGCCTCTTTGGTAATAAAACCTCTTTCACCAGAACAAACTGTAAGCATGAGCATCTGCTCAGCATGGAGAATTTTCTACCATCCAGGAGACTGTGAGTCATCTCTCACATGAAAATATGGTCAGTTCAGCCTACTGCTTGCTTCTCTTAAAGACAGCGTGCGCAGCTTACATATTGTCTAAATGCGTGCTTTAACGTAAGATCAGAAATGAGGATGATCACCTAGCTCCCTAACAAAACCTAAAATCAGTAAGAATATTTCTTCTGATAACTTCTTAAAGTCAGTAGTTTCAATACTCCCATCATATTTTTAACAATAGCTCTTTAATTAGAATTAATTTAGGTTTTTCTTTACTTGCACTGCAACTAAGTTTAATTTTATTTGTTTAAATCCTGCTCTCTGAATGCAGACAACTAGTAGCTTAGTGATAGCACTTTCCTGTGCTGAACCAGTTGGTTTAGAGATTGTGAACCTGGAGCGCTTCACCCGTGCGTGTTTTGGGTGCTTGTGAACATGTCTGCATAAGGAAAGCACGACAAGATAGTCGCCAAATAGGAAAAAGCTTTGGTGCTGCCAAAGGACTCTCCAAACACCTCCATCAGATTGAACAACGATCTGAAAGCTCCTGTATGCCCAGGGGATGTGAAACACACTTTAGTAGTCACTCTGAAATATAAAGGAAATTTTAAATTTTTTTAATTAACAAACACCACATACAACATTATCAGCCACTCTATATAAAGCGTGCTGGATAATGCACAGCCTCTTTACATCATCCCCTCTTCCATCTCCTGCGGTCCACAGGAAAAGCCTCATGACTGGCAGCTGGTTGACTGCCCTATTATCTGAGCCTGCGTCCAGTCTGGCTAATTACAGTCACTGATTACTAAACACTGAGCAGCACTGTCACCTGCCTTAGCCTGACAGGATTATACCATCTGTGCCACATGGCCAGGATATGGAAAGCTGGTGAAAGGTCACAAAAAGGGGCAAATAGCCCTTAATGGGAGGTAAATGTATGTTTACAGACGTGACAGCTGACTGTCATTAGGGTATATATACGTATTCACAGCTGAAGATACCTCCCAAGGAAAAATAAGGGGCATAGGAAGTGTGACTTTGTCAGACTTGGTTTTTTCTATGCCAAAAATTGGTGTCATTCACTGGAAAGAAACTAAATACGCTTCTGTCAGACACCCTGGAGTAACCCAAGACCAGATGTTTTCCCTCCTTACCTCCTCAGATCTTGTCAGCGCAGCAGCATTTGAACTAAAATGTTTGTTAAAGCTGATCTAGGGAAACTGGTGCAAACCTTTACGCAAGCAAAACTGTCCCCTTTGGAGGATCTGGTTGGAACCGCTCGGTTTGTGCTTGCAGCTGTACCACAATTAACTAGGTAATGGAGGACCAGACCTGCTCTCCGGAGCAGGCAGCAGTGCAGGACCCATCAGCTGAGGGTTCCCCCTCTCCAAACCCCGCTCCAGTGCCAGTCGTGCCTCCTCTGGGCTGCAGTATCACCGCTCCTTCCTACGTCTCTTCTCTCACCAACTCCTACGAGCTTGTACCTGCCCTCTGCTCCACCCAGGCCTCTTGTATGGCTGCTACGTTTCATCCTCTGCACGCTAGCAAAAGTCTCCGCCTCTCTTTTCCCAAGTACGTGTGACAGTGCAGCCCTTTCATGGAAAACATCGTGTGTTTCCCCTGGTTTGCTGTATGTCCCCACGTATTGAAGTTTTGACTCTCCAAAGGGATTTTTGCAGCTTTACTATGTGTCTGGGCTGAGCCCTATGGAGGTCAGAGGGGCATAGTGTTTGCTTGGAAAGTTCCTAGTGCTTACAGCAGTCTCTGGGTCCTTTTGTAGGCAACATCCACCCAAAGCATCCACAGAGTGGTGGAATTCTAACAGTATATACCCCTGGGCCACTGGCATGACTCAAGACACTTGGCACTCCCCTCCCCACTTGCTGCCCTACACATGGAGTTTTCAAAGCCTCCAAGACATAAACTTGGGTACACAGCTCTCACTGGCAATGAAGAATTCCTGAGCTGCCACCCCAGGAGCTGGCATGCCACTTAGTCCTCCTGGGAGGATACCTGCGTCCTCCTGTTCGTGTGGAAGACCACAGATGGCACCACAATGTTGCCAAGGTCTTCTGCCATGGGGCCTTGAATGGGTTTGTTGCCAATCAAATTTCATCGCCACTGCCAGTCAGTCCTGTGTTAAAGTTATAGATTGAAGGAAGCTCAAAGCAGGGAAAACTGCCTGGCGCAACACGTCTGCGAGATGGTAAGGGTAGGAAGCTGCCGTGGTGCCTCTCTCCCCTTCTGAGCATGTCTGGGGATGCTCGTCCGAGAAGATGGTGACACGGTTTGGCACGGTCACAGCATTGTCAGTCTCCTTTCATCAGCCACACAGTGGAGACCACTACCCCCTTCTAGGGCCACTCCACCAGGCTCAGGTTGTGGTCTGGTGGCAGTGGTGGTTTCTGGGTAGGTCCCCAAACTGCGGTCCCCTCAGGTGTGGCTCTGCCATCGACCCCTGGGTAGGGAGGACCCTCCTCCTCACTGTATTCTGGCTGAAATATGCAGAACTTTCAGCCAGAAAAGCAAGCAGTTGGTGAAGCTTGGGGACAATTTATTTCAGCCAAGTCATGGTGTCACACACTTACTACCTTGCTTTTCTTCTCCTTCCTTGGATTTCTTGTCTAAACTTTCTCTTTTGCTGTCAAATGTGTATTGTGTTTCTCCAGTTGCGTTCAATTTTCCTGGCCATTATTTACCAGGTATTTTAGTATGCGAGTGTAAGATGGATGTTTTACTGAAAAAAGATGACTATAAGTAGCCTTGCAGATGTCAAATCGAAGTTTAAAGAAACACACATGAATCCCCAAAAGGTGCATATAAGTCATAACTGAAACGGTCTTACTTTTAATGATGAATGTAATCTTCTCAGAAGTGAAAATAGAATTTATTTCATGTCAGATAGGTGACCAACATTTGACAGCCACTGAGTACAGCAATTTTTCAAAAGGCATGAAATCAAGGTGTCGAATATTCTCATCTCTCATATCTGACCTATGACGTGCTTTCCCAACAGTTGCTCTGATGTTTTTTCTGTTGGTTCTTTAAAATTGATTTCAGGAGCAGGCATGTTCAAAAATCTACTTCATTTATGTATGTGTGTATATATATAGATATATGCTCACTAGCCTGCCAATGAAGTCAGCGAGTGACATGGTGTGGGCAGCATTGCCATGAGAGATTGGGGCTGGGATACTGGAGCAGAGGTACGCGGTGATGAGCTGGAGGACTTGGAGGGGAGGAACATGGTGACATTCAGTGGTACAAAACTCATGCGTTTTTTCAACTGATGCTCAGAATTTCTGCTGGAAACCAAAAGGGAGCAAAACTGGGATGCGATGGTAGACTGCAGTCGTCGGGGTGCTACTGATACGATGCAGCTGTGGAAATCAGAGGCTGATTCTTTGACACAGCGTTTCCAGGACAGATGGAGAAGTGTTTGTAGCTCCCTTATTTACCACCAGTTACCACTTCACCTCCTGAGCCTCCTCGGGGTGAAGGCAGGCAGGCCTGGTGCTGCGCACGAGCCCGGTCAGCCGTGCTTGGAGCAGATAAGCGCAGGCTGGAGCAGGTATGGAAAGCAGTTGCTCGGATGAGCGGGGCACCTGGCAGCTTAATTTGAGAGCGACAGCATAGGGAGCGCAGCTCATTTAGCTCCTCAAGACAAATGCCGAGAGAGAAAAAAATGTGATTGCTCTCTCTAAATTTATCAGTGGAGGCAAATGCCAGAGAGGGAGAGGAACTATTTAAGGTGAAGGACAATGTTGGCATAAGAACAAATGAGTGTAATCTGGCTATGAATAAATTTAGGCTGAAAATTAGAAAATGGTTTTTAACTATCAGAGAAGTGAGTTCTCAGCTTTTTAATACGAACTCAAGAAACCCAATTCCTATTCAGTCCAATTTTACAAGATTATTAAAGAGCTGCCGCGATAGGAGGAGACTAGTCTACAGCTTAGATCTTCTCTGTCCCTGAACACTGCTGGATGCAGGTTGACTCAACAGGAATCCTGCCTTGAATATTCGGTATATGAATATTCTTCATTATATGAAGAAGTTTCAAAAGTCGGGACTCAAGTTGTCAAGGAAGTGCCCTAAATATTTGGTTCTTTGGAGTTTTATGTCTCTCTCTGCCTTTTCTATGCACCTGTGAAATACAGAGAATAATTCCACCCCTCCTCCCCATTTAATCACACTGGGGTATTGTGAAAACACCCTCACTGTGGTATTATGAAAATATAATATTTACTGTTTGTGTAGCACTCAGGAGTGCTGTGAGGATGAGTACCAAAGGAAAAAAAGCTGTGCTGAAATTAATAATTTTGGCTGCACAGCTAGGTTTGAATTACATGTAGTAAATCATGCCTAGGGCAACACACTGAGTGAGAAGAAAATAAAATATTGAATAGCTGCTCATTAAGTGAACACCGTCTATTCCGTGAACTGAATGAGGCAGGGTCCCATGGAAAATACAGCATGTGATTTTGCAATTGAAGATCAGGAAAGGGCTGAATTAAGGTTGCACAAGCCTTTCCTTATGCCTTTCCAGCATCAAGGATCTAGGATTTTTTTTTTCTAGGTGCAGCTGACCAGTTAGCTCTCTGCATCTACAAGGAGCCCGGCTTGCACCCTATTTACGAGCAGGGGGGACCCTGTTTGTGCGCGACGTGGAGGTAGTTGTCAGACTGCACATGTTCTGGCACAATTCTTCTCCCAGAAGATGGGAGGGACTTCCTGGGCGGATTTGAATACCCACCCGTCCTCCTGTCTCACCAGCCTGTGTGCAGGAAGACGGTTCGGAGCGCGCCGTGTGAATAACCCCCACAGTACTCTGCCCTTGGCGCAAGCAGCTGGAGAAGAATGGGAGAGTTGCACCAGCTCACCCACAATCAGCCTCTCAGAACTGGGCAGAGAATAGTGTTCTGTCTTGCGGAGAAACTGGAAATTTATTTCATCCCAGCTTTGCACTAACCCCATCTCTAGAAATTCTCTATAAATGCAAATTGGAGGAGTGATTAAAATGTTGACTGTTGAGCCAAGAAGCTTGGGAAGCCGGGGTGAACTACCTTCCCCGTGAATTTGGAGGTGTAGGTGCCTTTGGGTGTGAGGCTGAGGCTTTAGGTGTGAAGCTCAGGCTTTGGCTGTGATCTTGGGACCACCACGCAAGCTTCCAGGGAGGAGCAGGCATGGTCTGAGGAACCCGAGCCCATTTCAAACCTTGACTTTTCTTGAAAGATATCAACGAGGCAGCAAGCATTTTGTCGCTATTTTCCAGACTAGTTGCAGAACTAATGGGCTATATGCTGAAACAGTCGTGAACAGGCCAGCATGGTTACCTTGCTCTCTGACTGTGCTGGGAAGAGTGGTGGCTGAAGCGGTGGCCTTCAGGAGCTCAGCCCTGGCCACATCAAAACCTGATACCAGTACCCATAGCTTTATTCTAGTGGGAGTGTTTGATATGCCACCACAAAATGCTGAGAACACAAAATCTTGCTCTTTTAAAAAGAACTTTGATGCAGAAGACAAATTTCTAGCATGATTAGCGAGTTTGAGTCCCTCTTCTTCTCGGCACCCGAATTTACTTCAGCTGAGGTCTGATTGCCACAGCGGGGATGCTCGGCTCTTTGTGAACACCCTGCGTTTTCAAAGCGGGCACTAACAAGGCAAGCAAAAGCATTGGCCAGTTCTGAAAGTCTTGACTCAAACTCTTCAAAGGTTATCCAAGAAGCATGTATTTCTCAGCCTTGGGAAACAAGAATTATTTATAGGCTCACCCAGAATGCTTGGCTGGATGTTATTGTGTGAGTTGGTACAAAGGAGTCTGGTGTGACTGTACGTCCTATACAAAGGCAGACACACCCCGCATTTAACATCTTCCTGTTTTACTGCAGTCAATCATATTTCCATGTTTGTTTGTCATAGTATGTATGTCTCTAATTATGTGCTGATGGCACATTCCTACCAACCGAAAATATTGTCAAAAAATACAGAGCTATCTCTAGATGGAGACCTTGTTTTTGACAGCAATGTTTGCTATTGAATCACAAACCACAGAAAGCAGTGATTTGCACAAGAACGGCGAATGCATAAGAAGTGTGCTGAACAGTCCTTTTGCACAGGAAGAGGGAAGGAAGAAAAACATATTTATCTCAGTAGTGGTTAAACGATAGTGCAAACCAGTAATTATGTGTAAATTATGACCTTGCCCCCTTGCAGTCAGCTCCTCAGTAAACATGACTGCACTTAATTTCCATCCCCTCAGCAATAAACATCGTTGTTTTCTGAGCAAGTTCAACGCTCCTCTTCAGATCTTTTTTCAATGAGAATCTGTGGGTTTGGAGATCAAAATCTTAAATGAAATGCTGGGCTTTTCAGATTTTGGGGATTTTCATTGAAATATAAAACTGGTGGTAAAATATTAGCTTTTATAAATTCTGCTCTCATCCTTTACACTTTTCTATCACTATGAAGGCATTATATACAAGTTTAAATTTTAGAGTTTTTTAAACATACATATTTTTCATTCTTATTTGACATTCTGTAATGTTTCCAAAGATGGAGAAGTGCTGAAAAGTTGCAGAAAATAAAGTGATGAAAGAAACCCCTAACTTGGATATCATGTAATATACATGGAAATAAAAGGAAAATACAGAAAGAATGTGGGAGACAAATAGGAGGGAAGCCCACAAAATTACATTTTAAGAAATACAGGTTAAAAGCACATTATTCTAAAATACTAGAGAATCTCAGTGCAGTGGAAGTGACTTAATTAATGGAACTTATTTCGCTTTTGAACATTTCTAATTTTTCTGTTTATTTAAACAGTAACAGCCAAATAAGAACTGAGCCTCAGCGCTTAGATATTATGGTGCATTTCAGCGTGACAGACTGTAGCTACACACAATTATTCTGTGCTATCAGACACTAAAGTGACGTTCATTATTTCCTACCTTAAGCTGTCCTGTAAATTTGCTCTGCACTGTTAAGCAGATACCAAGTTCTGCCTAGAGATAGAAACATTGCTGATGAGCAAAGGGGATCTTAATAAGTAAGTTTGTTGATGCTTATGTTAAACTTTA